ATAATTGTCCCAAAAGATATATATTTTTTTTTTCTCCCTTTATGCTTTTAATATCTCTGGCATTGTCCTCGAATTGACTTTTTGTTTATTCAGTTTCAGTATTGATGTGTACAACTCGTCCCCTTTTTCTCTTAATTCTGCTCATGCTGTTTGTGCATCACCTGTTTTGCTTCACTTGCAGATTATGTCACCACATGACTCACAGAAAATATGTAAATAGATACTCTATTCAGAGATTTGTTTAACATTTTTTTGTAGTTGTTATTTAACCATCAGTGTTTCTGTAGGATCAACAAGTATCCATATAAATTTCAGTCAACTAGTGCAAATAAACTTGACATTTAACACTAATAGAGTACAAATGAAAAAGGATACAGTCAATCACACATCTCCAATGAGGGAGCCAGTGTGAATAAAACAAACAGCCGACACGTCACACCGGCTTTGAATAGATCTGGCAAGAAGCTAGGCTAATGCAAAAAAGGAAATGCAAATAAACTTGACATTTAGCACCGATATATCACTTTTTGTCTTTTGTGGGGTTATTTAGTATAACCAAAATGCGCCGATGCAACTCAATTCATGAATTTGGCAAATTAAATGAAAACTATTTGCATTGCACGTAATCCACTTTAAACACTTTATCCAGCTCTGTTCACGAATAAATTTGTTTTTGCATTACCTAAAAACTGGGTAGGGGATCCTTAGTTCCCAGCATGCTTTGTACGGCAGTTAATGGGAAGAATGTTTGTTGAATATAAATTCAACATTGAATTTAAGTGTTTTTTTTGTGTGTTTTGGAGAACGGGGAGACATGAACAGTATGATATTTTCTGACTTAATTGTTGAGAAATGATTATTTAGCGCTGCTGTGTGTTATTAGCTAGCAGGTTTATGTTTTCCCCTCATCATCTGCGCCTGTCTTGTGTGGTGTGCCCCAGGGATCTGTTTTGGGACCTTTAATTGTTTTCCCTTTATATGCTTCCCTTGGCCCACATTTTTTAGAAATACAACATTATCTGGACGATTCTCCGTAAGGCTTGTAATTGAGGCTTGACACCACTGTTTCATTCGATGTGGTATTGATATGAGTAAATGATATCAAGAGGTTGATGAAAATTTTTTTTGAAGCTAAATTAGGATAAAACAGGTTTTAATTCTAGGTTGTCCTACAGTTACACCAGTGTACACAAATAAATCAAAAACGTGGCGTAATCTTTGACTTTAGTGCTGTAGAGGAAGCTTTTTTGGTTACCCTTTATTTTAATGTATTCCTGTAACAGTTTAAGTATACATGAATTAGTAGTATTCAATTCAAGTACTTACTATAGGGTTAGGTTTATGGTTCTGAGATTCTGATATGATTCTGAGATATAAACTCGCAATTCTGAGATATAAACTCGCAATTCGCAACTCTGAGATATAAACTCGCAATTCTGAGATATAAACTCGCAATTCTGAGATATAAATTCGCCATTCTGAGATATAAACTCACAATTCTGAGATATAAACTCGCAATTCTGAGATATAAACTCACAATTCTGATATATAAACTCACAATTCTGAGATATAAACTCACAATTCTGAGATATAAATTCGCAATTCTGAGATATAAACTCACAATTCTGAGATATAAACTCGCAATTCTGAGATATAAACTTGCAATTCTGAGACATAAATTCGCAATTCTGAGATATAAACTCACAATTCTGAGATATAAATTCGCAATTCTGAGATATAAACTCACAATTCTGATATATAAACTCACAATTCTGATATATAAACTCGCAATTCTGAGATATAAATTCGCAATTCTGAGATATAAACTCACAATTCTGAGATATAAACTCGCAATTCTGAGATATAAACTCACAATTCTGAGATATAAACTCGCAATTCTGAGATATAAACTCACAATTCTGAGATATAAACTCGCAATTCTGAGATATAAACTCACAATTCTGATATATAAACTCGCAATTCTGAGATATAAATTCGCAATTCTGAGATATAAACTCACAATTCTGAGATATAAACTCGCAATTCTGAGATATAAACTCACAATTCTGAGATATAAACTCGCAATTCTGAGATATAAACTCACAATTCTGATATATAAACTCGCAATTCGCAATTCTGAGATATAAACTCACAATTCTCATATATAAACTCGCAATTCTGAGATATAAATTCGCAATTCTGAGATATAAACTCACAATTCTGAGATATAAACTCGCAATTCGCAATTCTGAGATATAAACTCACAATTCAGGGATATAAATTCGCAATTCTGAGATATAAATTCGCAATTCTGAGATATAAACTGGCAATTCGCAATTCTGAGATATAAACTCGCAATTCTGAGATATAAACTCACAATTCTGAGATATAAACGCGCAATTCTGAGATATAAATTCGCCATTCTGAGATATAAACTCACAATTCTGAGATATAAACTCGCAATTCTGAGATATAAACTCACAATTCTGAGATATAAACTCACAATTCTGATATATAAACTCACAATTCTGATATATAAACTCGCAATTCTGAGATATAAATTCGCAATTCTGAGATATAAACTCACAATTCTGAGATATAAACTCGCAATTCTGAGATATAAACTCACAATTCTGAGATATAAACTCGCAATTCTGAGATATAAACTCACAATTCTGAGATATAAACTCGCAATTCTGAGATATAAACTCACAATTCTGATATATAAACTCGCAATTCTGAGATATAAATTCGCAATTCTGAGATATAAACTCACAATTCTGAGATATAAACTCGCAATTCTGAGATATAAACTCACAATTCTGAGATATAAACTCGCAATTCTGAGATATAAACTCACAATTCTGATATATAAACTCGCAATTCGCAATTCTGAGATATAAACTCACAATTCTCATATATAAACTCGCAATTCTGAGATATAAATTCGCAATTCTGAGATATAAACTCACAATTCTGAGATATAAACTCGCAATTCGCAATTCTGAGATATAAACTCACAATTCAGGGATATAAATTCGCAATTCTGAGATATAAATTCGCAATTCTGAGATATAAACTGGCAATTCGCAATTCTGAGATATAAACTCGCAATTCTGAGATATAAACTCACAATTCTGAGATATAAACGCGCAATTCTGAGATATAAATTCGCCATTCTGAGATATAAACTCACAATTCTGAGATATAAACTCGCAATTCTGAGATATAAACTCACAATTCTGATATATAAACTCACAATTCTGAGATATAAACTCACAATTCTGAGATATAAATTCGCAATTCTGAGATATAAACTCACAATTCTGAGATATAAACTCGCAATTCTGAGATATAAACTCGCAATTCTGAGATATAAATTCGCAATTCTGAGATATAAACTCACAATTCTGAGATATAAACTCGCAATTCTGAGATATAAACTCGCAATTCTGAGATATAAATTCGCAATTCTGAGATATAAACTCACAATTCTGAGATATAAATTCGCAATTCTGAGATATAAACTCACAATTCTGAGATATAAACTCACAATTCTGAGATATAAACTCACAATTCTGATATATAAACTCGCAATTCTGAGATATAAATTCGCAATTCTGAGATATAAACTCACAATTCTGAGATATAAACTCGCAATTCTGAGATATAAACTCACAATTCTGAGATATAAACTCGCAATTCTGAGATATAAACTCACAATTCTGAGATATAAACTCACAATTCTGAGATATAAACTCACAATTCTGAGATATAAACTCACAATTCTGAGATATAAACTCACAATTCTGATATATAAACTCGCAATTCTGAGATATAAATTCGCAATTCTGAGATATAAACTCACAATTCTGAGATATAAACTCACAATTCTCATATATAAACTCGCAATTCTGAGATATAAACTCACAATTCTGAGATATAAACTCACAATTCTGAGATATAAACTCGCAATTCTGAGATATAAACTCACAATTCTGAGATATAAATTTGCAATTCGCAATTCTGAGATATAAACTTACAATTCTGAGATATAAACTCACAATTCTGAGATATAAACTCACAATTCTGAGATATAAATTTGCAATTCGCAATTCTGAGATATAAACTCACAATTCTGAGATATAAACTCGCAATTGTGAGAAAAAAATTGGAATTAAGAAAAAATACAAAATTTTCCTCAGAATTGTATTTTATTTCTAGCAATAAATTATAAACTCTCTTAAATATAAACTCTCAATTGTGAAAAAAATGCAATTCTGACTTTATATCATGCAATTATAACTATATTTCGCAATTATGACTTTATATCTCCCAGTCGCGTGTTATAAAGTCAGAATTGTGAGATAAACATGCAGTTCTGAGAAAATAAGTCAGAATTGCGAGTTTATTTCTTTCATTTGCGAGTTTAGCCTAACAAATAACAATTGCAACTTTATATCACTCAATTCTGAGAAAATAGGCGCAATTGCCTTTCATTTTTTATTCAGTGGCGGAAACAAGCTTTCATACTTTAGCACTTTGTATCAATTTATATTGTTTAAATGTGCTCTATTAATAAATGTTGTTGTTGTTGGAAGATATACAAAATATGATGTAAAAATGAAGAAAAAAATTCATGCATGCACTGATTTTTTTTTAGTTAAAAAAGTAAGTTACCTGGTTGCCTTTAAATTGAGTTCATTGAAATAAGAAAATTGAATGAATTCTTTGAAGGTGATTTGAAATTTAACAAACTCAAAATATTATGTCATCTGAACCACATGTTCAGTGCATGTGTACTGTCCTTTGCTTTGACATTGAGAGTTTGTATACAGCAGGTTTAGACAGAAAAAGGCCAAGAGACACTAACAATCTCCTGCATCCTGAGAGAGAGATTGTCAGTAAACAACATGATGATAGAGGTAGAGACAAAGTTGAGAGAAAAAGGCGGGCATGTTGACAAAAAGATAGAGTGGAATTACAGTGTTGAAACTTACAAACTGGTTTGTCAAGGCTGTGGCTGGTAAACGGGTCTTTCGCATGAAAAATCCACTGAAGCTAGTGGCTCCTGCAAATGAGTGACTCAAAACAAACACTAAAATACTTATGACCAGAAACACCAACGGCCAGGGCCTGGTGATGACATGTCAACACTCTCATTTTGAAAGTAATGAAACATTTTAAGAGAAGACATTGAAACAGTAGCACTTGTAAAGGTTTGCAGGAATCCTCCTGCGTGCCAGAAAGGGCCGAGCACTGCATGCCTTCGCTAGTTATAGACTCCAAAGTGCAACAGAGAGCGTTTAATAGAAAATCTTGAACCCTCTTACAGGTTCACTTCTGTATATTCTTAATCACTTGAGAATATAGGATTTCAGAAAAGCAGTGAAAGGAATCTGGTCTGTGTGCATTTTAGTGACACACGATGAATGTGCTTACTGGATGGTAATGTACAACCAGATTCAATCTTGCAACAGTTTCTTAAGTTGGAGAAAGTATCTGAGTTATGCGTAACCATGTTTAAGGGTCAGTTCAAGCTGAAAGTGAAATTCTGTCTCTGTCGACCCCTCGTGACTTCTTCAGTGGAACATAAAATATGTTTTTATTTAAAGGTACAATATGTAGGATTTTTGCAGTAAAACCACTAGGCCGATGTTTTATATTTTGTTTAGTTGATTACTTACAAAATCCCAAATGTTTTCAACTATTTGTAAATCGTGAGAAAATTGCGATTTTTAACCAAGGAAACGGGGCGTGGGAGCTGGGGTGAGGAGTCGCTGTACCTGCCAGGTTTGACCTCATACTGCAACAGTAACCATGGCGACAGACGTTGACAACTGGTTCGGTTATGCCGTTATGCCTAGCAGGACGCTCGCGCTGTTGCCATGGCAAGCAGACTTTGAGACAAAACGAGGACTAAAACGAAGATCAACATCTTTCGAGATGCCGAGAGCGCGTCCGCGACTAACTTCGACTTAGAGACGCGAGTGTTGCAGGTAGGGGTGTAACGGTACATGTTTTCGTATTAGGGCTGGGTAATAAATATCGATTTCTCGATATTAATCGATTCTCATTTTTACGAACCGATATCGATTCTTAAGTTTCAAGAATCGATTAGTCATCCTGTTTCATTTGAATGCATGGGACATTGTATCGCGGCTGCGTGCATTCAAAAAATCGCAATAATCTTTGTCCTTTGTTACTATTGATATGAAACAAAGTCTCAATTTTCAAATTACGTCCATTTTCTTTAGGAATACAAAAACATAAATAGCGTTTTGGCGCTGTGGCGTGAGATCGCTCTGGAGAAGCAGCAGCGCTGATCTCTCTTCCGAGTTAATAATCCCAGTCACAGCGCCAAATAAACATGAATGAGCATCTGAAAGTGTGTTAAAAGATATAGTACAACTTATCGAAATCCGTATCATGTCACATTGATTCGCTCAATCAGCGTTTCAACCGTGGAAAGACGTCAGTTAAACAGCTTGTAATCAATGTCTTGTCATGTATCGTCATATTTACCTCAGAAGACCCACATCAACTCGTTAGTCAGATAGAAAAAAATAACTCCAGAGAGGAGCATTTTGCTAAATATATACAGTATATTACATATGCATTATAATCTTAATGTTCTTCAATATTTAATGCATATTTGAATAAATCTGGCAAGTTTTTATGACAGCCACCATTTAAATGTTTATATTTCATATAATCTTCTTCTTATTATAAAAATAAATAAAAGTGTAATTTAAGTGATTCATTCATTATTACCTTCCTATTAGGCTAATGAAGCCTACACTGAAAAAAATGATTTTTGCTGCTTGTTCAAATCGCTTAATTAAAATTAGCTTAAGCAACATAATTGCTTTACATTTTGTCCAAACTTAATTTGATTGTGTCCAATCTGCTTAAATATATGTACAATTTAAGTTTACTTAATCCGTTTGTGTTGGATAACATGAATGATTTGTGTTGCATTAACTGAAATTGGGCGGTGCATGTTAATTCCCAGCATGCTTTGCATATGTCTGAATTATGAGAGAATAAATGTTGAAATGAAGTGTTATTTTATATTTTTTTGAGAAAATAAGAAAAGGTTAGTGTGTAATTGTGTTTAATGTTCAATTACATTGGAATTATTAGAACCATTTAAATTACAGTTGGTTACCATTGTGGAGAAGAGTGGATGATTTGGTTAGTCTGTGGACCGATTCAATTATGTGTATAGCAACTGCTTTTTGCTGATGGTGTATGTATACCATAGCATTCAGTATGCCACCAAGTACTATTGGTAGCTAACTGCAGGCTATAGACTAGATATTGAGTTGTGTGTCAAACACATTCAATCTTAATTGGATAAATGAATATATGAATTTGAATACCTGAAACAGCCAATCAGGGAGCCTTTTAAAATCACTTTGAGACTACTTAATTGGATAACTTAAAATGACTTAATTCCATGACATTGAAGATACATTAATAAATTATGTTTGTGTAACTTAATTGGTTCATGTGGGACCGATGTACACTATCAAATAATGTAAATCCAACAGACTTTTTTTTTCAGTGTAGTAGGCTACAACTAGACTCCCATAGTTTACAGCATTAGTTAAGAGATTTAATTCCCTTGAGAAAAATTGCCATTTATTGTAACTGATATCCAAAATAATCGATATGGAATCGAATCGAAATCGAATCGAATTGAAAGCTTGTGAATTGAAATCGAATCGAATTGTGATATTTGTCTCAATACCCAGCCCTAATTCGTATTGAACCGTTTCGGTTCGAGGCTTCCGGTTCGGTACGCATACAAACCGAACGATTGCTTGGACCATTTTTCCTGCCGGCAAAATTCGTGCTGACGCGGCCAACACAACGTTGCGCAACATCAAATGGCAAGCGTAATGAAAGCGAAACGAAACTGCGCTCCTCGTTATGTGCTTCACGGATCGTTTATCAGTTCAGACCAGCAACATCTGTGCAGCGCGAGACGATCTAACCACACCGCGCTAAAGAAAACATTTGAATTCGCCACTGAGGTAATAACATCGCTGCGAGATCTATTGAGAAGCATTCACATTTCTCCGTTATTAACCGTAGATCTCTATTAGATCAAACAGCGCTGTCATGGAAACCAGGAGAAACATTGTCCCGTGAATGAACTAGTAATACTTTACGTCCACAGACCAGCAACATTCACCATGGATTTAATATAGTAACACTAACTGGAACCAGTTTGGCTGGAATGGTGAAATGCTTTCAAGTACTTCACACATCTTTTTCCAGCACTTCAAAATTCAAATATTATATAAATAAATATGTATTTAAATGTTATTTTTAATGTGATGACCAAAACATTATTTGTTCATCCTTCAAAGATGGCCCCCATTTATAAACCTGAAAGTTTCAAGATCTAGGAAAACTCACACTTGTTTAAAAATATTTTTTCTTTAAACAAATAGGAAATTTCTCTTGCATTTCTTTCTTTTTGCTGTATCGAAAACGTACCGAACCGTGACTTTAAAACCGAGGTACGTACCGAACCGTGATTTTTGTGTACCGTTACACCCCTAGTTGCAGGTATACGCGCCTTGCTTCACACAGTGGTGGAATGTAACGAAGTAAAAATACTTCGTTACTTTACTTAAGTACATTTTTCACGTATCTTTACTTTACTTAAGTACAATAAATAGTGCATACTTTTTACTTTTACTTCGTTACATTTTGCAGCAATTATTCTACTTTCTACTCCACTACATCTCTACAACTTCTGTTACATTTTCGTTACATTTCCTGATCAGTTTTTCCCCTGCCAAAACGTAATCTGACCGTCCGTTCGTTGCACGTTTGTCTCACCAGTGACGTTTGGTTGCCATAGATACAGTATATCAACTCGGTCACACAAATGCGTCTCGCACGCAGTGTGTTTATCGTGCAACTCATACGCGAAAATTTGTTTTTACGTGCATAAACGCACCGTGTGTAATATAGGCTATGTTTGCTTTGGTTAGGATTATGGCAAGCCAAGAGGTTCAGAATTACACCATAAATGAATCGCGTTTACTGCCAAACATAGTTATTAACATATAGTAAGGATAAGTATGATGTGTATATTGCCTAATTGCAAGCTTGTTTCAAAAATGGTGACATTTTTTTCCATCATTATTGAACATCATTATAGGAGTAGGCTATTAGGTTGAATGAGTTAGAATTAAATGTTTTATTAATCATTAGAAAATAGACATTAAGATAATAAATTGTTATGCAAGTACTTTTACTTTTAATACTTAAAGTACATTTAAAATAAAGTACTTTTTACTTTTTACTTAAGTATGGTTGTCATTGTGTTACTTCTACTTTTACTAAAGTAAATATTTATCTGGGTATTTGTACTTTTACTTAAGTACTGAGATTCAGTACTTCCTCCACCACTGGCTTCACACCACTGTCATATTAAAAACATCAGTGTATTCACTCATCTATAAAAGATCCATCAGCTTGACGACAAGATCCCGCGGAATATACGTCATCAATATACACCTTTGTTAATGTAAGAGGTTAGCGACCCCTGGTGGCGAAACAATCTTGCATATTGTACCTTTAATGAAAGTCAATCGGGTCTAGTGTTGTTTGGAACAGTTGTTTGGCAATGTATTTTAAGTATGAAGGGCACAAATAATATATATTTTAAAGTTGTAAATAAAACAAAGACTATCAGAGTACCTTTATGTATTTCATGTTTAATTCAATGTTACTTGCCATTTTGTTGTGGTTGTTTGTTAAAATTGCTGAGGGGAAAGTTTCTATTTTTATTCGGTGAATGTCGACCGTCTCATCCATTTAACCTTTTATTAAGTATTCTAACCTCTGCATGTCTGTTTTTTTGTTTCCACCATTGTACCAGCCCGGGGGATATAGTTGAAAATTGGCTAAAATGACCTACAAAAGTGTCTATTAATGTGTACACTCTCTGTAAATCTAAAGCTAATAAAGTACGGAAAAATCAGCTGAGCTTTTGGCCCTGGAAACAAAAAAATGAAATCAGAAATTTAAATAAAATCTGTCTGCATTTTTTCAATCCTCCTTATTTTTGAAGGTAAGCAACTGTTTATGTGCCCGACAGGATTATACAAATAAGCCAGATTGTTTACAATATACAGCACATAATAATCAGATATCCATGTCTTTTACTAGAATTACACACAAGTTATGAGAGAATATTATAAGATGACCATGGTTGCATTTGGATTGTAACTCTGTAGCTCAGGTTTATTAGCAATGAGACAAACAAAGTCAACACTAAGGTTGCATTAAAGAGGTATACTTTTTCCACCCAGATTAAAGAAAAACATTTCGATTTCGGTCTCTGCAGGACGTTTGGGGCATTTTTTCTCCAACTATTGAACTTCTACATCCATCATAAATAGCTTTGTCTAAAGACTTTAATAAATAAGCTATGGTATTTCCAACCAAATTCATATGAAATGTAAGTCTGGGTATCACTCTACTTTAAGGGTGAAAATCCACCAAGATAGCTTTTTTTGAGAGAACCGCCACCAAATTATCAATGATCCATCAAAATGTAACAGCAGAAGGCACTTCCTCTCTTAAAACGTCCAAATTGGTCCAAAGGTCGTGGACGAACAGATTCCCAGTTTCATTCAGTCATGCTGAACAAAACGATGAGCCGTTTGTCATTATAATACATATTTACAGTCACATACAGTATAACATCACTGATTTTTACAGTCACATATAACATCACTGACTTCTTCTCACAGAAGATTTATATTAATATGGCAACACGTCGTGTTTGTGCACTAGGGAGTGTTTGTTTGCAGGAATGACTTCACTTAGACGGCATACTTGAACAGAACAGTTGCATTTATGTGTGTAAAATCTGTCCAACTTTCCTGCCACAGGACTTTTAAATGGACTGGCTCATCACAAGTGGTCCAGGTCGCTGGATTTCAGTTTTGGCACAGGGGTCGGCCTCCAAACCAATGGACTGAAAAGGAAAAGGTAGGTGTAGAATTTCAGAAGGCAAGAACAATGGGAGGAATAAAACGAATTGTATTCTTCAAGTGCAGCTCAGATGTAATCTGAGAATTTGTTTTCCTTAAAGGGAAAGTTCACTTTGAAATTAATTTTTGATATGTTTTATCGTACCTCAAGGGCATCCAAGATGTTGGTGTCTTTGTTTCCGCAGTATTTTCAATTTTGATATTTTTAGGTCAAACCGTTCTTTTCTGTCAGTCATATAATGGAGGTCTATGGTCACCACCTCAAAGAGCATGCACAGAGAAGTCCAAATTAAACATGATTTAATGACTCGTAAACGTAAGTACACATTGATGGCCTAAGACACGAAACGAGCGGTTTGTCTGAGAAAACCAACAGTATTAATTTCGTTTTTACCTCTTGTAATCACAGCCACGTCCAAGTGATCTGAGGTCGTGGGCGTTTCGGTCTGCGCAAGCGGCGGAAGTGATCTTTTCCGCGTGTACATAGAGATTTCGGAAGTTTTGCGAAGATCTAAACATATTTAGATATACAGGAAATCACAATAGAAGACAATTTCAACGCATCAACAGACAACGTTTAATTTTTTTCGCAACCGCATGAGTAGGGTTGGGTATCGAGAATCGAGTATCGATTGGAACCGGGACTAACTTTTAGTTTTTCCCGGAATCGTTCAAAAGTTAAAATTTCGATTTCCTAGTTTCGATATTCACAGTCCACCGAGCGGAAGAAGAAACTGCTGAACAACACCAACGAAGAAGCGTCTACCGGAAGTGTTGGCATAACCGCGCGAGTCGAACATGAGTAGCTTACGTCGGCAGTCCAAACTGTGGCTTCACTTTTCTAAAAATAACGAAATCGGCATAACCGCGCGAGTCGAACATGAGTAGCTTACGTCGGCAGTCTAAACTGTGGCTTCACTTTTCTAAAAATAACGAAATCGGCATAACCGCGCGAGTCGAACATGAGTAGTTTACGTCGGCAGTCCAAACTGTGGCTTCACTTTCCTAAAAATAACGAAATCGGCATAACCGTGCGAGTCGAACATGAGTTGTTTACGTCGGCAGTCCAAACTGTGGCTTCACTTTTCTAAAAATAACGAAATCGGCATAACCGTGCGAGTCGAACATGAGTAGCTTACGTCGGCAGTCCAAACTGTGGCTTCACTTTTCTAAAAATAACGAAATCGGCATAACCGCGCGAGTCGAACATGAGTAGCTTACGTCGGCAGTCCAAACTGTGGCTTCACTTTTCTAAAAATAACGAAATCGGCATAACCGCGCGAGTCGAACATGAGTAGTTTACGTCGGCAGTCCAAACTGTGGCTTCACTTTTCTAAAAATAACGAAATCGGCATAACCGCGCGAGTCGAACATGAGTTGTTTACGTCGGCAGTCCAAACTGTGGCTTCACTTTTCTAAAAATAACGAAATTGGCATAACCGCGCGAGTCGAACATGAGTAGTTTACGTCGGCAGTCCAAACTGTAGCTTCACTTTTCTAAAAATAACGAAATCGGCATAACCGCGCGAGTCAAACATGAGTTGTTTACGTCGGCAGTCCAAACTGTGGCTTCACTTTTCTAAAAATAACGAAATCGGCATAACCGCGCGAGTCGAACATGAGTAGCTTACGTCGGCAGTCCAAACTGTGGCTTCACTTTTCTAAAAATAACGAAATCGGCATAACCGCGCGAGTCGAACATGAGTTGTTTACGTTCGGCAGTCCAAACTGTGGCTTCACTTTTCTAAAAATAACGAAATCGGCATAACTGCGCGAGTCGAACATGAGTAGCTTACGTCGGCAGTCCAAACTGTGGCTTCACTTTTCTAAAAATAACGAAATCGGCATAACCGTGCGAGTCGAACATGAGTAGCTTACGTCGGCAGTCCAAACTGTGGCTTCACTTTTCTAAAAATAACGAAATCGGCATAACCGCGCGAGTCGAACATGAGTAGTTTACGTCGGCAGTCCAAACTGTGGCTTCACTTTTCTAAAAATAACGAAATCGGCATAACCGCGCGAGTCGAACATGAGTAGTTTACGTCGGCAGTCCAAACTGTGGCTTCATTTTTCTAAAAATAACGAAATCGGCATAACCGCGCGAGTTGAACATGAGTAGCTTACGTCGGCAGTCCAAACTGTGGCTTCACTTTTCTAAAAATAACGAAATCGGCATAACCGCGCGAGTCAAACATGAGTAGCTTACGTCGGCAGTCCAAACTGTGGCTTCACTTTTCTAAAAATAATGAAATCGGCATAACCGCGCGAGTCGAACATGAGTTGTTTACGTCGGCAGTCCAAACTGTGGCTTCACTTTTCTAAAAATAACGAAATTGGCATAACCGCGCGAGTCGAACATGAGTAGCTTACGTCGGCAGTCCAAACTGTGGCTTCACTTTTCTAAAAATAACGAAATCTCGGCAAAATGCTAAATTTGTGACAAAAGGAGTATTTTTACAGAAGGAGTATTTCCTTCAGAAAGGCCGTTGGTTAGCAAGGTTAGCTAAACTTTTTTGACCCTGCCTTTTAAAAGAATCGTAATCGAGAATCGTTAGGAACCGGAATCGAAACAAGGAATCGGAATCAGAATCGTTCAAATTCAAACGATACCCAACCCTACGCGTGAGAGATCACTTCCGGCGCTTGCGCAGACCGAAACGCCGGCGCCCTCAGATCACTTGGACGTGGCTGTGATTACAAGAGGTAAAACTATATAAATACTGTTCGTTTTCTCACACAAAGCGCTCGTTTTGTGTCTTAGGCTTTACATTTACGAGTCATTACATCATGTTTAATTTGGACTTGTCTGTGCGTGATCTTTGAGGTGGTGACCATACACCTCCATTATATGACTGAAAGACAAGAACGGTTTGACCTAAAAAATAAAAATTGAAAATACTGTGGAAACAAAGACACCTACATCTTGGATGCCCTTGAGGTAAGATAAAACATATCAAAAATTAATTTCAAAGTGAACTATTCCTTTAAGATCTACTTTCACTTGCAAAACAACCAGGGGAGTTGTATAGGGTCCAAAATGCAATAGTGACCATTTAACAGATTTATTGTTTATTAAGGCCCCAACACACAAAGATTCCACGTTTTACAAAAATTCTAAATGGATCGTAATTAGAATGTTTGGAATGTTGGTGCTGCGTGAGAAAAGAAACAGTACCTGGCTGTTTTGTGTTCATGGTTCTGAATCACTTTGGGGATATTGTTTCATAATCTGATGACTGAAGGTGTGATGGGTCAGACCTGTGTGATTCGAGAAGATTTAGTGATGTTCTACTCTCTGCTGTTTGCTCTGATAAGCCTGACGTTTATGACCGTCATCAATGAGACAGCCTTCCCTCTTTACTCACACTGCTATCACTAATGCGCGATAAAATGAAGGCCTTGGAGAAACTGAATAATTGCAATGATTGTGTAGCTAGCAGAGCAAGGCTGAGAGCCATGGGAATGGAGTGAGAGGCTGACGCTTTACTTTCGTTTTCGTTGTTTACTCATTTTTGGATTAAAGTTTACGTTGAACGTTTGCTGGTTCTCGCCTCCTTCCCTTAATAAAGGATTAGTTCACTTTTGAAAAAACTTTTGCTGATAATTTACTCACCCCCATGTCATCCAAGATGTCCATGTCTTTCTTTCCTCAGTCGAAAAGAAATTTAGGTTTTTGATGAAAACATTCCAGGATTTTTCTCCATATAATGGACTTCAATGGGGTCCAAATGGTCCAAGGTCCAAAAGACAGTTTCAGTGCAAACTGTTCAAATGTCTTTAAACGACACCAGACGATGAATAAGGGTCTTATCATGCGAAACGATCGGTTATTTCAAAACTTATTCCAAAAATGTAACTTTTCTAAGGACAAATGCTAGCCATGCTCTATTCTGTGAGGCGCGTTTGCAACGTCACGTAATACGTAATTGCGTCCAAAAGGTCACGGGCGACGTAGCCGGAAGTACAGAATCAAAATCGTCCGACATCGTTGTTTTACCTTTTAATTCCTTTTTTTGTAAACGGCGTTTGAGTTAGTTTGCACGTTCAACCTATGCGTTCAACTTGTAAACACTGACTCTGTACTTCCGGCTACGTCGCCCGTGACCTTTTGAACGTAATTACGTACTACGTGACGTTGCAAACGCGCCTCACAGAACAGAGCAAGGCTAGCATTTTTGGAATAAGTTTTGAAATAACCGATCGTTTCGCATGATAAGACCCTTATTCATCGTCTGGTGTCGTTTAAAGACATTTGAAGCTGCATCTGAAACTGTTATTAACTGTGGCTTCAATTTGGTTCCCATTGAAGTCCATTATATGGAGAATGTTTTCATCAAAAACCTTAATTTCTTTTCGACTGAGGAAAGAAAGACATGGACATCTTGGATGACATGGGGGTGAGTAAATTATCAGCAAAAGTTTTTTCAAAAGTGAACTAATCCTTTAATAACGAACCTCGTTACAGATTCTAAATGACTAAATCCACGAGATGTGAATAAATATATGAAACATTTATGTCGGATTATACTTTTCTCTACTATCTACTGTCAGATGTTATCAATTTGACGTTGCTGAAAGTGTTTGTTCACAATAATACATGATACATGAACGTCTATTGTTGTTAGCAATGTTATGTGAGCTAAGAAGGCGTTTCTGGCCCTGTTTACACTTGTTATTAAGAAGCGTTTTCATCGATCGGATACATATAGGTGTAAATGGCGTCTAAAACTTTTGACCTTGTTTCAAGGTCCAAATGAGAGTTTCAGTGCAGCTTTAAACGACACCAGACGATGAATAAGGGTCTTATCTAGCAAGTGCTCACAACTTAAACTTTATTTATTTATTAAATGAGCGATCGTTTCGCTTGATAAGACCCTTATTCGTCGTCTGGAATCGTTTAAAGCCCTTTGAAGCTGCAGTGAAACTGTCTCTTGGACCTTGAACCGTTTGGTTCCCAAAAAATCCTAAAAACCGTAATTTCTTTTCGACTGAAGGAAGAAAGACATGGACATCTTGGATGACACGGGGGTGAGTAAATTATCAGCAAAAGCTTTTTTAACCCTTGTGCTGCATTAGATTTTTAACACCGTTGAGTGCATTAAGGCCACATATTAAACATTGCCTAAAATATTATATATTATTATTATTTTCCACTTTTACCAAGTTAAATCTTTTAACCAGCATCAGTCCTCATCATAACTACCAAAAATGTATTCAATTTCAGGATTTTAACCGTTTAATTGCCAGTTTTGTTTGCGAAACCATCGATTTGTATAAGAGGAAAAAACACAAAAATTCAATTATTTTCAATAAACTAAATGCAAAGAGAAAACTTTAGATTTGGATTATCACAGTCCCACTTTGCAAAAAATCCCACTTAGAGACCAAAAATGGCCACCTATTAAACATTGCCTATTGCCTAAAATAAGGTGCATTTCCACCCATAGGGAATAAATATGTAGTGACGTCATCACTATATAATGCAAATATAATGCTTTTGCTTCAAAATGAAAGGATGTTTGTGCAAAAATCATGTTTCATGTATTACTGACAGCCTCAGATTTAAACAACGTTTTAATGGGTTTCAATGGGCCATTTTTGGTCTGAGTGTTACTATTTGATCTACACAGTGTGTGTTATACATATTTTGCAAAATGGGATCACATTTTTTACATGTATCCAAAAAGTCACAATTTTGCCAAATTTCATACCATTTGCATTAAAACAGCCAAAATGGTCAAAGAAATTAAACCGCAAAAGACCAAAAATGTCCCTAATGCAGCATAAGGGTTAAAAGTGAACGACTCCTTTAACACCAACACAATAATGATAACACACACTGTGAATATGAAAAGAGCTTACTTGATAGCTCTGGACGTGTTCGTTTGGGTCGAAGCTCCTCGGAGGGATGAAGGGCTCGTTGTGATGGTTGACGCTCAGGCGTGCGCGGCTAGGGAGCGCGTCGCTGACCCCGTTGACCCTGTGGATGCACAGCACTTTCTGGAAGCTCCTCTTGAAGTTGTCCGACAGAAAGCCGTAGAGCAGCGGATTGGCGCAGCTGTTGACGTAGGTCAGGATGACGGTGAGGAAGTAGACGCCGGTGACCACGCCGTTCTCCGGCAGCGTGCTGATCACGTTGATGATGTTGAGGATGAAAAACGGCAGCCAGCAGAGCACGAACACCACCACGATGATCACCACCATCCTCGTCACCTTCTTCTCGGACCTGCGGCGCTTGGAGAGTCCGGCCCGCGCCCCGGCCGACTTCACCTTGATCACGATGAGCAGGTAACACAGGCAGATGACCATCAGGGGGCAGAAGAAGCCCAAGATGGCGGTGTAGAGGATGAAGGCGGTCGACCACACGTCATGCGGCTCGGGCCAGCTCAGGTTGCAGGTGTTGAGCTCCGGCTGAACGTCACAGTAAATGATGACCGGCAGTGTCAGCAGACAGGACAGCGCCCATACCATGCTATTTATCACCTTGGCAACACTGGGTCGCCTCCACCGCGCGCTGCGGATAGGATGCACCACAGCCATGTAGCGATCAATGCTCATTACTGTCAGGCAGAATGTGCTGGTGAACTGACTGATGGAGTCCGCCCACATGAGGATACGGCAGAGGAAGTTTCCGAACGGCCAGTAGGTGAGCACGTTGTGGGCGGTGAGGAATGGCAGTCCCAGGATGTACAGCTCGTCGGCCACTGCCAGGTTCAAGATGTACATGTTGGTGACCGTCTTCATTTTGGTGTAGCGCAGGACCACGAAAATGGCCAGGGAGTTTCCCGTCAGACCCACGACGAACACGACGAGGTATATCACGGCCAGGACCTCCGTGCTGTTTTCGTCGGCCTGCGAGCTTTCGTTCAGGTGATGGGAAGTATTGGTGATGTCATCGGACTGGTTGGCGTAGCTCAAGATTGACTTGTTGCACATGGACCCCAGGGTTGCCATATTTAGCACTGGCAAAGGAACGTCACTGAGGGGCTAAAACAAGACAATGGTTATCTCAAATGCACAACATTAAAACTGTGAAACTAAACTCTTTCACTAATAAAAGGTTCCTCAGCGTTTTTTTGTTTTGATTGTTTGGGGTTTTTTAAGTTTGTAGGTTTTTAAGTTCAGCATACACTCTCAGAAAAAAAAGGTACAAAAGCTGTCCCTGGGGCTGTACCTTTTCAAAAGGTACACTTTTGTACCCAAAGGCTGCATATTGGTACCTTAGTGGTACATATTAACACCTAAAATGTACTTAACACCTAAAATGTACATACTGTATTAGGACCTAAAATAGACATATTAGCACATAAAATGTACATTTTAACACCTAAAATGTACATATTAACACTTAAAATGTACATATTAGGACCTAAAATGGACATATTAGCACCTAAAATGTACATTTTAACAATTAAAATGTACTTAACACCTAAAATGTACATATTACCACCTAAAATGGACATATTAGCTTCTGAAATGGACATATTAGCACCTAAAATGTACATGTTAACACTTAAAATGTACATATTAGCACCTAAAATGGACATATTAGCTTCTGAAATGGACATATTAGCACCTAAAATGTACATATTAACACTTAAAATGTACATATTTGCGCCTAAAATGTACATTTTAACAATTAAAATGTACTTAACACCTAAAATGTACATATTACCACCTAAAATGGACATATTAGCTTCTGAAATGGACATATTAGCACCTAAAATGTACATGTTAACACTTAAAATGTACATATTAGTACCTAAAATGGGCATATTAGCTCCTGAAATGGACATATTAGCACCTAAAATGTACATATTAACACCTAAAATGTACATATTAGCACCTAAAATGTACATATTAACACTTAAAATGTACATATTAGGACCTAAAATGGACATATTAGCACCTAAAATGTACATTTTAACAATTAAAATGTACTTAACACCTAAAATGTACATATTACCACCTAAAATGGACATATTAGCTTCTGAAATGGACATATTAGCACCTAAAATGTACATGTTAACACTTAAAATGTACATATTTGCACCTAAAATGGACATATTAGCTTCTGAAATGGACATATTAGCACCTAAAATGTACATATTAACACTTAAAATGTACATATTTGCGCCTAAAATGTACTTAACACCTAAAATGTACATATTACCACCTAAAATGGACATATTAGCTTCTGAAATGGACATATTAGCACCTAAAATGTACATATTAACACTTAAAATGTACATATTTGCACCTAAAATGGACATATTAGCTTCTGAAATGGACATATTAGCACCTAAAACGTACATATTAACACTTAAAATGTACATGTTTGCGCCTAAAATGTACTTAACACCTAAAATGTACATATTACCACCTAAAATGGACATATTAGCTCATGAAATGGACATATTAGCACCTAAATGTACATATTAACACTTAAAATGTACATATTAGCACCTAAAATGTACATATTAGGACCTAAAATGTGCTTATTAGCACCTAAAATGCACATATTAGCACCTAAAATTGACAAAAGTTTACTTTTTGAAAAGGTACAGCCCCAGTGACAGCTTTTGTACCTTTTTTTTCTGAGAGTGTATGATGAGGTTTTCGAAAGTTCTAGAGAATAAACTTCTTCTATATAGGAACTTTTATTTGTAAAACACTGGAAATGTAAAACTGCCTTATTGTTCCCCACACAAAACCACACATGGGCTAGGACAAGAACTGGCAAAGGCTTGTTTTGCCTTAATTCTCTCTTTTTTTTTTTTTCAATTAATTTGTATCGTATTGTTAAAAAACATGCATCTGCTGTATTGCAGAATACAGCATTTTTTGTCATTTTCTCGAATCCGTGTTAACAATCTTGTCGTCTTTCTGTGAAAAAATTACTTTCTGAAAGATATACAGACTACTTGCGCTTGGACTATGGAGTCCTGAACTAAAATAAACAAGATTAATTTAAAACCAACTTTGTTCGTCTGAATTAGCATGACTGAGGTTACAAACGCATAAATTTGTTGTGTGTGTGTATGCATTATGGGTAAAAAATGTTCCCACAAAGACGGTAATATCCAAAATCCTTGTCCTGTGGGAACATTTTTTTGGTTCCCATGAGAAAAAACGCTTATTAATCAGATTAAAGGATGATTTGTGAACATTTTAAAATGCAGAAAGTTATCTGTGATGGGTAGGTTTATGGGTAAAGGGGAGAAGATATTGTTTGTACAGTATAAAAGTCATTCTGTCAATGGAAAGTCCCCATAACACATGAAAACATGAAACCAATGTCTCTGTGTGTGTATATATATATATATACATCTTCACTGACCTAAAGTCCATCCATGTAATCCATGTGTCTTCATCAATCACAACACCGTATTCTGGACAAATGTGGGCAAAATAGTTTTGATTTATTTAAAAAAAAATACTTCCCTTGATTTGAGCGGTGCAAGACTTGGCTACTTTTCCTAAGTTTGCCTCCTGAAAACACAGAATTTATTTTTGACTCAATTCTACAATGTTAAGTGGGTGAAAAAAAAACTCCTTAATCTTGTATTTGGGTCAAAAATGGGCACCCATAGAAATGAATGGGAAAAACTGTAATTTAGAGCAGTCTAAAATAAGCCAAATGACAGCAAAGTCGCTTCATCTTTAGGTTTTAGCTCTAAGAACTTATTGGAATGATATTTTAATGCAGTTAAAAAAAAAATAAAAAAAATAAAACATAAAAATAAGCATAATTTACATAGAAAATATGGTACTTTTTGAAGTAAATAAATTAAAAAATACCCCCAAAATAAAAAAAACACACCATAAATGGATAGACAAAACTTTATAGAAGACATTTATAATAAATAAAAATTAGGATCACACCTGAGTCCTCCGTGCCCACATTTGTCCACAATTACATAAGAGTGAATATGAGGGCTACGCTGAAGTTAAACCTGCCTGTTTATTTTAAGCCTCAATTTTGTCCTGGAGTAGCTTGAGTCTTCAGCACATTAAGCGTATTAAAGTCCAGGACTATTTATATGACAGAGAAAGCAGATTTTTGTTAATCTGGCCATTTTAAATCTAATCTTGTCCAGTAAAGTGCCCCATGTGTATACTGCGTGACCTTGACTTTAAGTGGCACTCGCGCTGGATATGAGCCGTGCAAAGTGAGCAGCGACACATTGTGTTGCACAAATAAAGCACTGCCTCAGAAATGCACTGAACCATAAATCGAAAACAAAGGGCAACGATGTCACTGTTATGAGTACAAACAGTCCAGCAGAGACTATTCATATGAGCTGTCTGCCTTTCCACCGCACCGGTGAATATTTAACCGGCCTTCTATGCCACACGCTCTCATTATATCAGCTAGTGACAAATGACCATGTTGATGTGCAGACAGACACATCTACTTATTGGCCATCTTCTATCTCCAGCTGTAATATAGGGGAGAGTAGGAACGGTTGCAACATGTCTTATTTCTCCAATCAGGAAAGGGTTAGAGAGATGATACTCAAATTACATGCTCAGTTAGACCCCCTTCCTGGAAGAAAACAATCCTTTTACAAAACTGTTTGTCATGTCTTTTTGTAAAGTCATGTCATTTTGATCAGTGTTGTCTTAGATGTTAAAGAATGAAGTTTTAATGAATGTTACACAATACAAACAGTTTCTGAGAAACTCAAGGAATTGCAAAAAAAAAAAAAAAAAAAAGTGTTGCAACCGTGTACAGACTGTTTATTAAGTGCTCTTTTGTTCAGAATTTCGCATTGTTAAAAGGTCTAATTATTTGATAAGATTTCGTTAGCAACAAAAGTTACAGGCTACCTGGTGCGGATTTTAATTAGAATCGCGTTCGCTGAGGGAGTAACCATAGCAACAGTGCAACGGCACGTCGACGAAAACATGTCAAGTATGCTAATTTGCTATAGTTTTACACCATCTAAATACATTTTTTCTTACAAAATATATGTTTTAAAAATGTATAGTTTTAAAAATATATGTATACAAAATATATGTTTTAAAAATGTATAGGCTAATTGTGTTTTAGATAACGGCTATGTTTTTTTTTTACTCTCGCGTGGGCTATCCCACAAAAACTCCGTAAAGATAGCATAAATAGGCATATTATGCAAGTTAATTGTAAAATAATATATTTATATGGTAATCCAACTAAGTACAAATGACAATCTTCGTTGGCAAACCAACGGAATGATCATACTAAATTATAATCAAAATGCAGATTCTTTGTAATAGGCCACGATTTCCATATCAATCATAACCGGCTACGTGTTTTTGTTGTAAAAGTTTTCAGGGGGGGGAAAAAAGACCATTTGAGTTGCAGTTTAAATCGATGGTATTTGATGAAAACAGTCTTGTTAAATATTAATAAGCAACAGGTAAAATGTGTTCACTGTTAACCTTACCTCAAACGCAACGCATCGTCCTCTGGGCTTCAGGCGCTCTTCCACTTTTTTCCACTCTTCCCAGTTTCAGTGATCAATAAATATTTGATGACTGAATGTCTTTTCGTGTAAGATCCAACATCAAGAGCCAGCACATCACCTTCATCCCCGATTTCAGTTTAAAAGAGCGCACTATAAGGACAGCACACACTTAATCCGCATTGTTTTTGTTTTTTCGGAACTTTTGTACGGCTAAATCATTGACATACAGCAAACCATACGCAGCTATCGGTTCCCAAGTTCCTAATAAATGTATAACTGTGCGTGTCGTGTTGTCCTCCGTGGGAAGGTCGAGTTGTTCAGGTGGAGAGGTGCTGCTCTCTCCATGCGCGCGCGCTGTATGGGTTTGGCTGGTCACCCGCGCGCGCTACAGGACCCTTCGCACGTCACAGACACATGCTTTTTGTTTTTTGACCTACACTATATCCTTCTAAACGTGCATGGATCTGCCCGCTATACGAGGTCCTAATGCTGGATTTATTGATTAGATTGGAGTATATTAATGCGTCAGGATCATTCACAGCTGTGACCGCTCATAAAACTGTCTTGCACGAAAAGGTAGCAGTGTTAAGTTTTATTGTCTTTTTATGACCCCTATGTCGTTTTGAAAACACACTATGCACACCAGTGTCATGTGCATAAAAAATGTGTTCTCTTGAATTACACCAGGCATGTCTTATTCTGCATGCACTAAGAATAAAAACACCCTTTTTTGGTGCTTCAAATATCAAATTGGGCAATAAAGTGACTTCAATGTTTATTTATGAAGTTCCTCAGAGTTATTATACTTGTGACATTGTGATGGGGGTCTTTAGAGTTCTTGCAGGGTTCAGTTTTGTGGTAATTTGTGGTTTCTGAAGGGGTGAATGCCTCAGTAAATCTTTACTGGCAGGGTGAACGGCCCCGGTGCGCAAAACCAGTGAAAAACTCTATTGTCTGAGAACTTTAAGGGCATATTTTACTGGTGTAATGAAATGACAAGGGTGTGTATGTCTGCATTCCATGTTCACAATACAGTTAATAGCAAATTTGAAGTTTAATATATGCAGTATATATATATATATATATATATATATTAATGCTGTCAAACGATTAAAATATTTAATTGTGATTAATTGCATTACACTGTAAAAAATATTTTCAAGATTTGTTATCACAACATATTTTCTTTTGTCAAATCAACTTTATAATAATTTATTTAGTTGAGATAACTTATTATTTTGAGTTTCTGATGATTAAATTAATCTCCTTCATTGTATTAACTCACTTTTTCCAGTTCAATCAACTTAAAATTTTAAGGCAACCGAGGTTACTTACTTTTTTAAGTTAAACCAACAATATTTTTTTTTACAGTGTAGTAATCACAACATTTTTTCTTTTATCAAATCAACTTAAATCATTTATTTAGTTCAGATAACATATAATTTTGAGTTTCTGATGATTAAATCATTCTCCTTCATTGTATTAACTCACTTTTTCCAGTTCAATCAACTTAAAATTTTAAGGCAACCCAGGTTACTTACTTTTTTAAGTTAAACCAACAATATTTTTTACAGTGTAGTTAACTCGCGATTAATCGCACATTTTTATCTATTCTAAATGTCTCTTGATTTCTTTTTTTCACATTATTTTTTTTCTCATTTTAATGCTGTTATCAACATGGAAAAGTGGATCGGCTTGCTTTGTGCAAATGTTTTTTTATTGAAAACAACATTGTCATATACTGTGTTCAAATTCACACTAACATTCTCACTTGGAGCAAATAATCTCTCAATGTAACACTGTCCATCAATAAAAGGGTGAAAGAAATACTGAGGAGGTCCTGATATTGACAAGGGGGTGGAGAATTCGCATCATCTGTGTGTGTGTGTGTCTGGACGTGCTGCGATGATCATAGCTCAGTTCACAACGACAAAACACACAGATCACTTTGGCCTTGTCGATTGAACCATTTGGCAACTTTTTAATAAAGTAAACTTTCCATTCAGAATCTTATTGGCATCTATTTCGACGTCTCACACTCGTCATCCACTCAAAACACAACGTTAATCAACTATTTGGCCGGCTCACAAGCCCAAACAAGTGTGTGCGGCGTGCCTGTTGTTTTGTTTCCGATCTAGCAAGATCCGCTTGCGCTTTGGTCGACGAAGCCACAAAACGTCCTAATGCGGCGCAAGCCATTGAAATGAATGGGTTTCAGAGAGCAGCGCATCCTGTTGCAAAAGCATATGAAAAAATCCTACAAAGTTTGCTAGGCCAAAAAGACCATTAATCGCACGATAAAAAAATTGACGTCGTTAAAATGGGTTTGCGTTAACGCCGTTAATATATATATATTAGGGCTGTCAAACGATTAATCACGATTAATCGCATCCAAAATAAAAGTTTGTGTTTACATAATATATGTGGGTGCACTGTGTATATTAATTTTATAATTATAAATACACACACATGCTTGTATATATTTAAGAAATATTTTCATGTATATACTCTATATAGATTTTTATATAATTTATATGATATGTAAATACAAATATTTTATATATAAATAATATTTTTTTCTTAAATATACATGCATTTGTGTGTTTTTAGATATATACAAAATAATTATACACAGTGCACCCACATATATTATGTAAAAACAAACTTTTATTTTGGATGCGATTAATCGTGATTAATCGTTTGACAGCCCTATATATATATATATATATATATATATATATATATATATATTACCATCATTAGTAGTTCAGTAGACTGCAGTAACAGGAGAGTTACGGTTATTTACGACAGTGCAAGTACACCACAGCGGCTCTAGAGGTCGCTGTTTCACAAAAACATCAAAGCTGCTTAGTGTGCCTTTAACAGATTAATGACTTGTAATGGAATGGCATTTCTATTATATTTTCTATATGGTTTTCAGTATTTTCAGTAACCTGCATCTCTGTTAATACGCTGATTTCACGCAGTTGCCATTTTGAAATGGAAAGCGAGGCTCCGGTGGGAAGAATCCCGGAAGAACAGATAGACAACAATGTCTTGGACTACCTGAAGCTGCTGCCGCGATTTACACGATTGGATGCTAATATACAAAATAGGATATGTATATAGTTCGTTCCTGATTTTTTTTTAAGTACTGAATTTTAATATATATATAAACAAATATTTTACTTATAAATTAATTTGTAACACTTTACAATAAGTTTCATTAGTTAACATTACATTAGTTAACATGTACAATATGTGAACAATACTTCTTCAGCATTTATTAATCTTAGTTATTATTAATTCCAACATTTAGCCTACTAATACGTTATTAAAATCAAAGGTTACATTAGTTAATGGACTGTGAACTAACATGAACACACAATGAACAGCTGTATTTGTATTAACTAAGATTAATAAACACTGTAACTAATGCATTGCTCATCGTTAGTTCATGTTAGTTAATGCATTTACTAATGTTAACTAATTAACCTTATTGTAAAGTGTTACCAATTAATTTCACTGTATAAAGTATAAAATATGAAAGAAATGTACATTTTTACGCCATCGCATTCACGACTCTCTGCGATAAAGGCGACACGGTTTTCTTCCCACCGGAGCCATTTCAAAATGGCGGCTGCGTGAAATCAACATATTGTAGCCTAAGACCGGATTAAACCTGGTGGTTCAACCATGCAACTGCATTCAAATGTTACTAATTGTGTTATTTTTTATGAAAAGTAATGTTTCATTACTTTTGCGTTTATTTTTCTCACCTGGGCTGGGCTTGCTATTTTCAAAAGTCAATTGATTAATCCTCGAGCTGAAGGAAATGCACATTCACGCCTGTACACTAGAGGGCGCCGCGCAACTCAAACAAACCTGTCAGCTGTGGACACAGGAGAAGGAAGGTCAACACTCTTATTTCTAAATCTAATCTAAAGTAATTATTGCTTATTAGTCTGGTTGAATTGGATCATTGAAGAACAGCAGCAAAGACACTGATAATAAAGTAAGATTAAATACATAAAGTATATTTGTGGTAGTTAATTATACAAGTTTTGCGTAAAAATTCTGAGATTGCATTTGACGGTTTTTATTCGTTTTGAGGAATACTGGATGTTTTTGTGCAAGTGAGATGAGTAAATGCATGTTCACATTTAGTCTAGAACTAAAGCATCATGTTTATTTATTTTGTTGTAAATTGAAAGAGTAATGCGTTACTTTACTAGTTACCTGAAAAAGTAATCTGATTACTAACTCAAGTTACTTCTTGGCTTTTAATCTCACAATTTATCCAACTATGACTTTTTAAAAGCATATTTATGATTTACCAAAACATTACAAAATGATGGAATTTAATGATTAAATGGAGCATTTAAAAATGGAAGGCATTGTATTGTAAGTGATTTCTAGACAAATCAACACATGGACAACCGCTAAATGCTTAAATCCTCCAACATGTCCAGTTTGATGAAAAAGCACCTGTAATCGACACACTATCATCACAGAGCTGTAAAATGTTCTGAGGTTTATCTTGCCATGTGGGATTTGAGCTCAGCGTGAGGCTACCGGCAGTTACTGCCACTTATGTGTAATTTGTGCACTTTGACGCAAGTCACTTTGATAAGAGTCTGACTGGACCACTGATGTAACTGTGCTTTCAGAGTCTCACTTCCACAGATGCAAAGACATCATGGGGTTCAAATCATGAGGAACATGCTCTTAAAGGGATAGTTCACTTTGAAATTAATTTTTGGTATTTTTTAGGTAATTTTTTTATCTTACCTCAAGGGCATCCAAGATGTAGGTGTTTTCTTTGTTTCCGCAGTATTTTCAATTTTGACATTTTTAGGTCAAACCGTTCTAGTCTGTCAGTCATATAATGCAGGTCTATGTGTAAGGTACTGGATCTGTTACACATGGTCACCACCTCATAGAGTATGCACAGAGAAGTCCAAAATTAACCTTGACTTAATGTCTCGTAAATGTTGCAAATGACTCAAAATTAATGATAGTGTATAATACACACTTCACAGACATAAATTATCATACTAACTCATTAGAATAAAATCATAACTGACTAAATATTTTTGTCACAATTTTTACTTTATGTTATGACATGTCACAATCTTCACTTTTTTCCTCATAATTTGGATGTTTTATCTTATAATTAAATTATGATTTTTCTCAACAATGAATACCAAAAGCATGCTTTTTTACTTTATAAAAAGTTGAAATTGTGAGGGAATAAAGTCTAAATTGTGAAATGGAAGTCAAATTTTTTTCATCACAAGTCAAAATTATGATTAAATATAAAAAATATGAGATAAAAAGTGGAAACGACGCATGCGGGAGATTTGCGATCTGAAGT